TTTGACACCGGAAAGAGCCCATGGCCATATGCTGCTCAATGGCCAAGAGTGCCGAATCGTTTGTTTTTAATTTGAAGCCCTTCATCGGTATACTAATGGACATCTGCGGAATAGCGTACAGCGAACCGCGGACTTCGGACTTCAGACATTTAAAGGCGAACTTTTCTAAGAGAACTGTTTAAAAGATTGAAAAATATAAATTTATAACAAATCATCTGAAGATGTATAGACCTCTTATAAATTATAAAATTACTTATAAAGTTTGCAAAGATTTTTTGTCGAATTGTCTCGAAATAACTTATATTCAAGTTTGCATTATTACATTTAAAAGTATCAAATATGAACTACAAACAACCACAATCTCGGAAAAAGAATTGTACAGAAGCTATATTTCAACTTCACATTCATTTGTTTCAAATTTGCAAACTGAAGGTACAACTTCCCATCAATGTGATACACTGTATATCAACCTTAATACATAAGGGATGTTTAAATTACTGCATGCACAGATTTGGGTCATTTATTACTTTCATTTTACTTTTCAACGCCCACTTGCATAGCCTTTTTTCGATGGAAAATGTTTTTGTACATTTTGTTGAATATTGAATAAAGTAAATGTTAAAAAGCTTAATGTTTTCAGTTGTTTGATATATAAAATATGCACTGAATAGGCAGGTTGATTTTGAAAATTTGTGTATTTTTAGGGTAGGGTGGGGATGTTACAACTTACTTGAAGAAATGTTTGACAAACAGAAAAAGGAGAAATATTCTAAACCTGAGGGAGGGGAGTATTGTACCCTCATTTTATTAAGCTAAATTAGTATATGAGTTATGATACTAAATCTGTAAATAAGCCTTGCTTATCTAAATGGATTGAACCAGGTAATTAAAATCAGTATAAATCTGAGAAAGCTGCGTAGATCGGGAATCTGCATTACGTTTCCAGCAAAGTCAAATTTATATCACTCTTTATTTCTTTCAAATTTGATATACATTAGGACACATCCTTTTCTCTTTTTTCGGGAGGGGGTTAAAACGGGCATATAGAAAACAAATATTTAAATCTGAAAAATCTTGAAAGTCAAATATCAATAATAAAATTCAAAAGTTGAAGAAGAATTAAATAAAGAAATAAACAAGAGAGAAAAAGAATACACATTTTTGATGCGAGTTCCGACTTCAAAGAGACTGACTGAAACATTGAAGTAATCAAAGTGTTCTTCATTTCCTATTTATAAATTGATAACCATAATATCAAATGCCATTGCATTATTAATTTTAACGTAAAGGTGATTTATAAATTCTGCACTTTGAGATGCTCCCCCTTATTTATAGTCCGATGTTTGAAGTCTGTTGTCCACTGTACGCTATTCCTCAAATGGCAAGTATGGCGTTGTCTCAGATGAGTACAAATTCTCACATCAGACATAAAAATCTATCCAATTAAATATTTTAGAAAATGAATATACAATAATTTTTTTTATACAAAACATATATTGATCAAGCAGATAAATAATATCCGCGCTCTCCTGAAGAACCAAATTAATTTAGAAAAGTACTTATGAAAATAAATCTTCTACATGTACTGTTTTTTTAAATATGAATATCAGTTCGAAATCTCAACATGTTTGACGAGTACACAAAGAACAAAAACTAGTCTTTGTTGATCATTATTACCCCTTTTAATGTGTTCGAAACTTTTTATTTTTTGGTGTTCTTCAGTTATAAAATCCGATGAGTTAAGAGTCGCTCTGGCAATGACTCTGGCGAGAGTTAGCGAGACTACAGCGAGATAGGGTAAATAAGGGATAATGTGGCTAGGAAGTGACTAGCACGTGGAGACATGGTTAAAAAAGTTATGTTGCGTTTCAGTTTTTACCATCCTATTATATCTGTAGAAATGCACTTCATTCAATCTCTCGTACATTCATTCAATTTAAATAAAAATATAAGTATTCTCTATATTTAAATTTCTGCAGCCATGAATTAAAATTTATTTTTGAACAAATATTTTTACATGGGAACCGGGAATATATTTTTTGGCGTCAGATTAGTTTAAGAGGCACCAGCATGATTTTAACTGACCAATCAGGTGAATGAGTATTGAATTTATGGGTTACTACGAATACTTTAGGAATTTTACTGTTGAAAAAACGGAAAATCTTATTGTAAACAAAAAGCATTTTAAAACAAAGATGTGTTTGTAAAACACTGATGCCCCCGTATGGCAACATAGCAAAGATTAAGCTTTTCTAAAATGCAAATTTAAGTAATTGGTACCAAAAGTAGGGTATTCTCGCTGGAAAACAATTGTGAAAATTGAAACTAAACCAATGTTAAAATTTTTTCAATTGTTACAAAAATCTCCAAGGTCAAGGTCAAAAGGTCAATTTAATTAGTATCAAATGAAAGGTCTTGCCACATAGAATACTTTTGTAGAGTATGAAAGCCCTAGCCCTTACCGTTCAGAAGGTATGGTCAATGTTCAATTTCTTAAAAAGTAGGTCAAACTCCAAGGTCAAGGTCAAAGTTTTTGTTATCAAATGAAAGGTCTTGTCATAATGATCAAATATGTAAAGTATGAAAGCACTAGCCCTTACTCTTTAAAAGTTATGGTCAAGGTTTGCTTTTTTAAAGTAGGTTAATCTCAAAGGTCAAGGTCAAAGGGTCAAAGTTCTTGGTATTCAATGAAGGGTCTTCTCACAAGAATTACATGTATGAAGTATGAAAGCCCTATCCCTTACCGTTCAAAAGTTATGGCCAAGGTTAAAGTTTTTTCACAAGTAAGAAAATCGTCAAGGTCAAGGTCAAAGGGTCAAGGTTGTTGGTATCCAGTGAAAGGTCTTTTAACAAACATTAAATATGTGAAGTATAAATGTCCTGGTGTCAACTATTCAAAAGATATGGCTAAAGTAAAATTTTAAAATTTCCATGTAAAAGTGGGTCAAACTCCAAGGTCAAGGTCAAAAAGTCTAATTTGGTGGTACCCAAAGAAAGGTCTTGTCACAAGGAATACACATATGAAATATGAAAATCATAGCTCCACTAAATCAAAAGTTATGGGCAAGGTTAAAGTTTTTGCGGACAAACAGACAAACAGAGAGACAGAGAGACAGAGACAGACAGACAGACAAACAGACAGACAGACAGAGAGACAGACAGACAGACAGACACGACAAAAACTATATACCCCTGAAACTTCGTTTACGGGGGCATAAAAAATTCTATGTTATTTCATGCTCAAATGACAAACAATTTATTTGTTAAATAAACGGTGGAAGTCCAGTTTTCTAAAAGTCATACTGCAAAGCGATATGCGTTTGTATTGATTCCATTGTTCAATTGTTGTACTATCGGTGAATACAATTGTCAGTTGCCAAAACACGTGATTACGAGTATAGTTATGTAAACAAAGCTTTGTCCATTTAAATGCATAAGAGATGCTGCTCGTTTTCTTCACTCTTGAAGCGTTGGTGTTCTAAACTAGACAAATACTACATTTTATTACACATTTTTTTTTCTAATTAACAACAAATCCTTCATAGTTTCTAATCTCTGTATTTTGTTCATAACAACATTTTTTTTTACTCCAATTACATGATCATAGATTGAGGTGAGCCAGTTGTTCGAAGTAGAATGTAAACATGTATCTGGCGTAAACGTTGGTATTCATTCAACGAATGGTCAGTTGCTTTTGGTAAGATCCTCTGTGTGCATTTATAACAATAGCCATATATAAGGCTTACAAAGGTTTGTCATTGTAGATGATATTACACCTATTCATTACCAGCCTATCGGTCGCTAGTGAGCTTTAATTTTCGCCTTAAAGTATGATTAGATATATAATTTGTTATTTTACCCCTCCCCCATCCCCGCCACCCCCTTTAGCCACCATTTTCTGTTTAAAATCACGAAGGTCCTTCAGATAGGTCTGGAAACACATTTTTACAGGAGAAACGGACTATAGCAATTTTCTGTCAACTGCAAATTTTATTTATAGAACCGGTTCTACCCTTGAACCTTTAAATAGGTCAACCTTAACCACGTGCCTTGAATTTAAATCACAATAACATAAGTAGGGGTGATTATGCCTAGAATATCAAAACATGAAACAGTTCGAGACCGCTAGATTTTCTGACGTCAGAATAAATTTGCATGTAAATTAGCAAATCTGTTTACTTTACCTACTGCTGAATGAGCCTCCATGCATTGTTGGCTACTACAAGTACCAAGTTGTGTTGAAAATTAAAGGCAACTTGGATTGTCCCTTGGAAACTTATTGTTAATTCTTTTTGAGATTTGAGAAAAAATTTTAAAACGATGTAAAATCTTTCATTCACATGCTCACATTTACAAAATTTTTTTTTGAAGCCTTATATCAACTTATAATACATCGGCCTAGAATATCATTGTTCAACGAGACGTTAAAGTGCTATCGTGTCGATAAAACCATTGATTTTTTTTCACGTGATATACGTGTACGTAGCTTAAGCAAGCAGTATATACATGTAGGTCTTGGTTTTAGACAGAAGGAGAAACTGTGCAATTATTATTTAACCCCTCAATATTATCAGAAAGTGTTTTATGTATACGCAAAAGTCAAAGCGTTTGTACGGTTTTCAACTGTTAATCATGTAAACAAACTCCAATATTAAATGTGAGCATGGAGTAGTGTCTTTGGAATATAATCTTTCAATTTCAATCTAATAAACTGATAAAAAAGGTGTACAGTTTTTTTCGGTGACGAGGTAAATTTTGTGTAGTAAACCGACGAAAACCACGTGTAGCCATTGAATCGTAAACGCATGGTGGACTGTTATGCTTTGGGGTCTTTCACTTGATTGAACGGGCGAAGACATCGATACGTGATGAAAATTGCCTTCCATATAAGGTTGTGGTTTCGACCTGTGAAAGTTACAGGGTGGAGCAATTTTATTGAATTTATTTATATTATATTTATATTTATATTAAATCATGAATAACTTTGTTCTTTTTTATAGAAAAATACAAGCAGTTGTCAACTGAGGAACGCGCTGCTTTATTTCTCCTCCTCTGTAGCGATAAAAATACTCTTATCTTGGAAAACACAAAACCAATAAAAAAAACATTTTATGAAGTTTGTGGGACAAAATACGATTCAAAGAACATAACTGAGAATATTCAAGCATTGCAATTGAAAGGATTCGTATCCATTGAGAAAGAAAAAGTGACATTTACTTCAGATTGTGTACAAGACGAGACAATGTTTGATTATTTACTCACATGTTGGGAGAAGAGGAAAGATGATGACCAGGACAAGGACATTACGAGACAATTACTTAATGTGTCACTAGAGAGTTCTTTGAAATATTTTAGGTCGGGAAATTTCGACGGAAAAGGGAAATTTGTTCGCTGTTTTGACACAAGCAAGGTCTTCAAAAACCATTGGATTACAATTAAAAATACTAAGTATGAAGCTTTATTTACCAGAATTATTTCTAAGCTTGGAAGAGAAATACTCATTCAGGACATCTTGGATGATAAATCATTGCATTCAACTATTACAGACCAGTGTAAGTACCCAACCTTTTCTTTTCATGTTATCTCTTTCTTTCTCTTTCCTCTCTTGAAATATACAAAAATATTTTAAAAATATCTTTAAAATCATCTTTTTCAAGAATAACACATCGGAAAGAATAGAAGAATCGAAAATTATTCCTATTAAAATGTAAATTATATGTTGTTCACCCCTCCCTCATCAATAAGGGATCAAAGGCTACGATGGGTCGATTACGGTATTTCTGCAATGTACGGATCCTGCGTTAAAGCTGGAATTGGTTAAATGTAGATCAAGATTCACATAATGTAAATATATAGAAAAATGATTTATTCTTCATAGCTAAACTTGCAAGCCATGTTAGTTAGAGCGAAAAATCTCACTTTGTATAGATTTAGCAACCTATAAAACAATAACATGGGATAAAACATTGATTTGTTTGTTTAATTGTCTTAATTCTGTTGAAAGGGATGCACAACACGGTAAAATTAATGAAAGAACTATATGCGGTATATTGCATATATTTGCCCCCACAAAAGTCAAATTTGGAAAACTTTCTGAAATGTGCTGAATTCAATAAACTGTATGAGAAATATAAATTAAAAGAAAATATTAAAGTGTCAAAGCAGTGTATTCACTATTTTTGTTTTTATGACGTCACAAACTAGTCCGATTTTATATTCTTGTTCAGAAAGAGGACAAAATGGACAAACTTTCAACAATTTCAGCTTTAAAAGTTATAGAGTGCAAGTTTGTCCAGGAACAATATTGACACATTTCATTGATATTATCATTCTACATATTATATCAAAATATTGATCCAGAACACACATGCGCTCGGTGACTTTTACTCAAAATATCGACGAAATATATACATTTTTCTGTAAAATTCATAAAAAACTAAAATTTACATCATGTTTGTGACGTCATTACGTACATATGGCGTCATTACTTATGAAAATAAACAGTGCTTTGAAGTCAGCATATACTCCCCTGTTTAAGACCTTCATTAAATATATCTCCATCAAAGTTTGATTTGGGGGGGGGGGGGCAATTATTGGTTATTACCGAATAAAGTTCTTTGAAAATGGATTGACAGCCAGTTACGTGAAGTTAACCTCTGTAAAGATAGTTTTTTTTCAGTAAAAATCCCTGAAGAGGTATTACAATGGGATTTAGATGCACGACGTCGGTACTTAGAGTACTTGAAAAAAGGAAAAACACCCATATATAGAGCACGGGGAATGATAGTTGGCTGTGCGGGTGCCGGAAAAACAACACTTTTAGAAAGACTGCAAAGGAAATCAATGGAAGACATACAAAAAATAAAGTCTACTGTGGGACTAGATGTGCACAATGATATTTTTGAAGTACAGGAAAAAGAAGGAAAACTAACAGGTAATAAAAAAATTGTGATATATTTATGCTTAATTTTTTTAAATGTCGAGATTGTCAAGAGTAAAGTTTTTATTGCTTAACAAATAGAAAGTATCTCTTGATAAAAAATTAATGGAAAACATTATAATTGAGAAAAAATCTTCTTAAAAATGCATATACGAGGGGTTATCAAAAAGTTCGTGGACTGAGGCTATAGAATTAGTACTATGTAATCTGTGCTTTCAAAATTTATATGGAACATAAGAAAACAAAAAATAAATTAATGTTGAAAATTTTAATTTGATACGTTCATTATTTGCAAAATTATTATAAAATAAAAACGACATTATATGATCACCCGGCGCTGTCGTCGTTTATTTTCATGACGTCCGACAACGTCTTTCTTTATTTCAATGTCCTCTTCTACCTCATGCACTTTTTTGGATGAGATTCCCTGGAGCTGAGTAAGGACTTAAACCCGCCTTGTTTATATGACTCTACAATGTCATAAACAGCGGCTTTCAATGAATATAATATTCCAAATGGATTTATACATTGGGAGAGATCCTCGCTTGATTGTGCCAGTATACTTTGCTTTTGAGAGTTCAATATCTACAACACATGATCAACGTCATTTTTTGACGCGATTGATTTTTCACACCTAGCTTGTCTAAAAATCGACATTAACTGTGTATCTCTTTTCTCTCTGACTATATATATTTTGACATTAAAGGACAAATTATCTGGATTCATAGTATTTCTCTGTAGCCAGTTTAAACATTTCTTAGGTCTATACTATTTTTTCAGGGGGCAAAACTTGATAGAATGTTGGAAAAAAAACCCTCCTTCCTTTTGACGTCATTTTCAAGGCCTCATTTATTTAGACATTTCATATAAAATTCACGATAAAATGTAATAGAATTTCCAGAATGAATTGAAAATTTCATATTTTATGGGGAAAATGGGTCCCGACACATAGCTGAATTATCGGGATTTTTGGATGTCAAATGTTTATATCAAAAGAGTTTTTTCTCAGTTACACCTAGGTCGCAAAAAACGTCGTGTTTGAGGTTGCGCCGCCTTGACATACCATTGCTTACAAAAACATTACCAATTTATTAGAAAATAAAATTTATGAGTTATGGTTTATTCCTTAGATAGAAAAGATATTGCTAACTATATATTTTAAAATTCATTGATGTGCCTAAAGCGGTTTTAATTTTATAGCGCTTGTCCACGAACTTTTTGATAACCCCTCGTATATTAAAAAAATACGCATAATTAATTCCTTGCTCTTAGTAAAAACCATCATTGCAGAAACAAAATATGTTTATCAATGAAGAGCAAGTTGGACTTGGATAGCCTCTGGAAAGTTGTTTTCCTGTTTATTTTGTCCAAATGTTAAAACTTGAAAGTGAAAGTACATTGCAAATTGCGGATTTTATAGGGGTCTTGTCTTTATATATGTCATGCCTTCAATAACAGACTTTCAGAGACCATTCACGTCCAACGTGCCCTTCATTGATAAACATATATTATTTCTGTAATGATGGTTTTCACAAAAAAGACGGAATTAACCAGGTGCATTTTTTAAAAATATGCACATTTTCTGATATAACTTTTCTAAAAAAAAACTTTTAAAAATTAAAAATCGTTTTGTCCTGATACCGCACATAGTTTTGGAGCTATTGTAAAAAAAATCTTTTAGACATGTTGACCTTCGGAGAAACCTTAACGACATCATTGCTCTACAGTGGAGCCTCTTTTATCCGGACGCTTTGGTTCCAAGTAGATTTGTTCGGATATGTGAAGCGTCCGTATATCTGAATTACCACTTAAACAAGACAAAGTATCATTAAAAAATTCGGTTTTAATGAAAAGTAGTCTGGATACTGAAGCATCCGGATATCTGGCGTCCGGATATCTGAAGGTCCACTGTATATACATTTTATAAGGGCAGGAAATGTTACAAATAAAAGTTTCAATAAAATGAAATCATGAAGCCAGGGACCTTGTCAAAATAGAAAGTGCTATGGATAAATCATCTACACCTGGATAACGCATAGGATAATCCAACGGGTAGTATCATCCACACGTATGAGATAAATGAGTATATCTCTACGCAGCACAGTAAAGGTTACAAATGGAAATATCGGCGATTTTTTAAGATAAAAAATACATACTTTATTAGGATGGGCGATTCTTTTTAGGAATTCACTGATATCAAAATATGTAATATGGTTTTAATCTACATGTTGGGGACATTTAGATTTTTTTTTATTTAGACTTTTCATGTGATGTCGACGGCAATTATATTTGCAGTTTAGAGGTCTTCTATAAATTTCAATATTGCAAGGGCATAACCAAGTTAAAAATCTTAGTTTATTAAGGTCTTCCGTTTCCAACGGAAGACCTTCTACTGATTCTGTTGGTAAAGATTATTATTCTTTTTTTTTCTTCTACGTCCTAGACGCCAACTTTGAGGCCTCATATCTCACTCATTTCTTAATAGATTTTGCTCAAATTTTCAGACATTATAGATGGTAATCAACTCTATCAGAATGATGTCTAACATTTTAAAAATTTACTTCCGCTTATGAATTATTTCCCTTTATAAGAAAAATTATAGGCTTTCGTTTCCGGATAAAGGCTCAGAGACCACAAAAGCTGGAGCAGAAATTTTACTGGTTTTAGGTAACAGAAGGATTGAAGTTGTGCACATCGGTTTTTGTTTTTCGATTTCTGTATTCAAAATGGCGCTTTATAGGGGTCAAAAATTAGAACGCCTAAAAGAGTGAAAATTTTCACATATTTTCCTTTTTTTCTTGAAAACTAAAAATATTTTGTTAAGACATATTGAATAAAAGTTGTGCATTATTGCAAGAGCTTTCATTTGATATCATTAAAAAGGGGCTGGCCCCTAAAATTAGGGATCTAGTGCCCATTGAAAGTTTTTGCCATATATCTCAAAAACGATTAATATTTCGAATGACTTTTGATAATAAAGTTGTGCTTTAACATCTTACTGATCTTATGAAATTGTTATTTTGTTCTAGTCTTGATTAAAATGAGCTAGATGCATGACCGATATATGTACAGGTAATTCTTTTCACTCAGCTCGTAAATGAGAGCTTCTCATGCGTGTATATAAAACAAATTTACTTTAAATAAAAATCATGGCTACAATGGATGCTAATATTCTTTAGAAAAAAGTTCTTGAAGTGTTTTGTGCTTTTTTTTCCCAAATTGTCATGCTTATTTACTAAGCGCACGCCTTTACATTCACCTTGTTTGTTTACAATTATATAACACGCCTCCCTCGATAACGCGGGGCAAAGTCGGTCACCGGGAATCAATCGGCGGGTAATTCAGCGACCCACAGTTATACACAAATAAAAACACAGAATGGTTAAATTCATTTTTTTTAAATATATTAAATTGTTCCTTAATACTATCTCTGTCCTATGAAAATATTAATTTGTTCGAGTCTTGCGTATTATAGGAAAGAAAGCTAGACGGTTCTCATCTTGCTATTGGAGGAAAACTCTTTAGTCTTTATGCGTAGAATTGCAGTAAACCTGCCGTAAGTAATAAATATTTTACAACGCTGTATCATATCTATTTTTGAAAATTAGGTTTTAAACGTGTTCTTTGGTTCCCGTTCAGAGTATTCAATGGCATCATTTTCATTTTATTAATCAAGATCTTTCCAAGAGAAAGAGTTATAGAAAAAGCACGAGCTAGTATCTTTTCTTCGTTTAGATATGAACACAAACAATATGAACGAAAACGATAAACGCCCGGATCTCATAAAAAGAACTTTTAAAGAGTCAGATAATACAAAAATTATTTACCGCGCGATTCTCACATTCACCTGGAACCCAGATTTTATGCGTGTGTTCCATTGCGTAATCTTACGATTACACGTGTCCAAGAAAATCTAAAGCGACACACCGCGGCGAACCATTGACCCCGTAGTCATAGACAAAATAATTGGTGTATTAAAACTATTTTACAATTAATGGAAAATTATATTATTGTCGGATATTTGAGATTAATATGTTGGCTTATCTTTGTTTTAAATTTGATCGTGATACATGTTTATCTAAAACAGCTATCTAGGCTTTGTGGTTGTTTACAATTACGCGACCAGTCATTCCTTCCATCGCTTGTTGACATTAACAGCGTGGTCAAATGTTAAATCTAATTTTACAAACTTACGGAAAACATTACTTTCTGTAAGTAAATCGAATCTTTCAAAAATATTTTAAAATATCTTAGGTTAGACTTTAGAACAAAACGCTGGGGTATTTATTTTATATGTACATTAATCAATTTTCAATTTTTATACTTCGTTAGTTCAATGTGTAATTTTACTTTTCATTTTGAAGATTCATAACGAAAGGACTGGCGATCTGCGGTTACTTAACTTCAACCAATATTGATTTAAATGCACAAGCTTCATTTGTGCTTTTAACGCACAAATAAATCTGTTTTCAACACAAATTTTCCCAAACACATTTTTTTCATCACAGATTTTTACCATGGCTATTTCAGTTAAACTTTAAAAGAAAATCTTCCGAATCATAAGGATCTAATTAGAATTATACTCAATGAAATGGACTAAACATCGATAAGTATCTCCGCACCTGTAAACTTCATAAGTGACTTCTGTGCTTGCACAATGCCCATTTTTATTACAGGTTGAATAGTCAAGTTGAAAAAATAATTCAAGATTTTAAAGCAATGAATTTAATTTGTGTAATAATTTATTCAAAACCTGTAAATGATTAGTATAGTGTGCTAACATTTTAATTTTGTTCCGTGATTTTAAAAATATCAGTAGCAGGTTATACAATGAACATGTAAGTAGTAATAAACCCGCATCGTATGTACGGAATCGAAAATTTAAGAACTTATATAACAATCTGCAGCTACATGTACAGAATATCAGAAATTTATCATGTAATTACACACTTTTATTTCCCAATTTAAACTGTTAAAATCATAACCGGCACCATAGTTAAACATTAATTGTCTTATAATCGGCACTTAGGGCCTTTGAGCAGGGAGGGATCTTTTTTGTGCTAGCACCTAAAGCGACACAGGACCTTGTTTTATACGGTCTCATCGGAAGAACAGGTCCCCACGTCCCACAGTGGGATTCGAAACCGCGACGTAAGGAGCTGATCCTTACCTCGCGACTATAGAGCAGTCTCTCTAATCACTGCGTTATGCGGGCAACCTTGGGGGATATATCAAAGTACTCAGAAGTACTGAAAGCCGGGCTCATTTACAGGGTAATGAACAAAGACCTTGGTGACAGTTTAAAATCAAGTTCAGACGTTTAGAGGATTATGTTACACACAAAAATTATTATCTCAATGGCATGTATAGCTGGCACGTAGCAAAGGAGGGGGGCAGGGGGGGGGCTGGCCCCCCACTTTTTTCTCCCATATTACCTTTACTATAGAAAATGTTCATTGAAATGATGGTTGCCCCCCCCCCATCCCCCCACTTTCAACCATTGTAAATTATAGGAAGGAAGTTTAGGAAAAAATTGGAAGTTAAAGGGAGTTGGCACTGAAAAAAGTCCCCCCCCCCTACGAAATAGGATTTTCGAGTTTGGGCAATAAAAAAAATTCCGTTTTTTTTTTTTTTTTTTTTTTTTGCTTGTCAACTTTTTAGGTAAGTAAAAAAAAAATTTTCTCTGGTTGCCCCCCCCCCCCCACTATCAAAAATGATGCTACGTGCCTGTATAGTATTAAAAAGTTTTAAAAATTAAATAAAATATAGCTAGAAATTATCATACAATGTATTTACATATTTATATACAAACAGAAGTAAATAAACACCGATGCAGCAAGATTAATTAAGGTCAAACGACTATGCACTGATGTGTCCTCAGCGGGGAGTTTTGCATCAAGTCATTAATAATGTTCCCTGCATTTGTGCTAGCCTGATAGTACAACCTTTATTTACAGAATATGTCGCAGACAGGGATACCTGATGAAAACCTTTCGCACCTTTTGAATTGCTTTGTAAAATATTAGTCAAAGGAGCCAGGAAAAATATTAAACAATTTAGCATTTTGATAAAAATATTCGATTTACTATTTCGTTTTCTCAAAAGCGGCTGGGCGTACGTACTATATTTTTACTCGTAAACTCAATTTGGCGGTGAAGAAGCAGCATTTTCTGTTGCCCACCGTCGCAATAGCCGGGCATTGCTCTACGAGCAATGAGCCCGGCTAAAAATGAAAACAATGAAGAAAATGGTCAGTTAAAAAAAAAGAAGGGGTCGTTTTGAAATATTATTCTTACGAACTTCAGGGCAAGTATGAGAAACCATATTTATGAAAGCTTCCTGATATAAAAAAGATTATTTTTTTTTCAAATCATGACTAGAGTTTTCCCTTGCAAAGTGATTGTGTATTTTGGGGGGTAGTGGGGCTGGGACGGGAATGAAACGGTCTGTTTAACTGTCCATATGTCTGTCTGTCCCTGAAAGTTTTTCCCAGAAGGCCAGGCTATAACATAAAGTAACCAGAAGCTTGTACTCGATACAAAGATTTCAAATGATCCTAGGATGTGTCATTGTATTTTTATTCAAGGCAATATTACGGTAAATTCAAGATCTGGAGAAAGAATTAATGTTTTGTTGCATTCATTTATATGTAATCGAGAATATCTGTAAGCTCATACTTGATACAGAGATTGCTTGTGATAAAAAGGTTTTTTTTTACGATTTTGACTCAGAAAATAGTATTTTTTCATTCTGACTATATTTGTTTAAGTTCATAATTGATACAAATTGCTTATAGTCCGCCGGTTTTCAGATGACTTAAAATAAGGTCATTTTAACAAATTCAGGGCCAATGACAGAAAAGTTGTAAAACACCTGTCAGATCTAGAGTTATGAATTTCTAAAAGTTGTTTCAGATTGAGGGTTTGTCTTGACAAAGAGCCAAGGTTATTCTGTTAAAATCAAGATCACTGACAGAAGAAATCTGTTCTTTTCCAGGCTATGAACTAGTAAGTGAAAATCATTGGAGACTCTTACTTGAAATATAGATTACTTATGATTGGAGGTTGTGTCATGTCACCCTGATCAAAGGTCTTTCTGGCAAATCAAGGTCACTGAGAGAGAAAAAATGTTTAAGCATAACTTTGTAATTAAGATTCACTGGAGGCTCATGATGAGAAGAAAAGATTGTTTACATAAGAATGTGCTGTGACCTTGACCCAAGGTCGGTACTTCCTGTCCACAGCTCCAACGGAAGACCTACTCGTTGCTTTGCAACGAGCTCGGCTCTAGTTTTATAATCCTTTTCATTTCTACATTGTATATGTTGTTTGTAAAAAGTGCTGCGAACCTATATAGATTCCCCTTTTTAATTGCTAAAATTTAATTTGTTGGAAGGCAGGTTGAATATTTTGCAGGTAAATTACATTAAATATAGCTATAATTAATTCATTTGCCAGATTTCAAGAGGATCGCAGCACTTTTCAAATAACTTAATGTTTGTTGAGTTTATGTGTAAAATTTTGACAAGATACATTGAGGGTATGCCCTTGCAATAAATCGATTTATTAGGGCCCTTCCGTTACTTTTTCAATGAATCTGCATACAAACACACGATAGTATCGATTGTCTTGAGAATGCACGTACAGTTTATAAATAAAATACTAAAAATAGACATCGCATCCAAAATAACGGCTTTTTATTTTACTGCAAATAATATTTTATTTGAGAACAAGACATTTTTCATTGTACAAAATGTGACTTGATCAGCCTCTCACTGTGTACAAACTGCGTCATTTATGCGAGATGATGTCACATTGGCAAGTGCAATGCGATCGATGCATCGTTTATATACTGTTGTGTGGGATTTAACAAGCGATAAAACTGCATGTAATAGTAAGTTTGTATGTAGTTTACAGCTATCCAGCTGTTTGAAATAGCAGATAATTTCATTTTGTGGTACTTTGAAGACCTTATATTATGTGTGACGTCATAGTAAACATTTCCCGTACAAATCAGGCCCCGACTCCTTACTGTAACCTTAACTGTGCTGCGTACTTGTTTTTTTTTTTGTTTTTTGTTTTTGTAAATCATACCAACGTTAACCTGAAAACACTATATTGCAACTGATAATAAATTAAGCTGTGTTACATATTTTAATTTTAAGTTGTTGTGCGTAAGTGCGAACCTGCAATCCATATAAAAGAAAATGTTCCAATTGATGATGCAGAAAAGATTGAGGGGAAAAAACTTCTAAGTATCCTGGATTTTGGAGGACAGTGCATGTATTACGCCTGCCATCAGATCTACCTCAGTAAACGAGCGTTCTATATTCTGGTAGTTGACATGTCTAAAGACTTGGAGGATGTCATAGATGAAGAGCTGTGCGATCAGAAGGATACAATGTTCTCAAAATGGAGCCACAGGGGTAAGAGAATTCTCCATAAATATCTAATTTTATAACAACAGCTCTTATTTGTCAACCTGAGCGTGAACTTTGAGTTTCAGGAAGGTTCAAAAGTAATGACTATATTTGAGCTATTTTGAAAAAAAAGAAAAAACAAGAAAGCATAGGAAAAGTTTTACTTTTATCAGCATAGTGTACTTGCACTCCAGTTAAAATTCCTGAATTGGCATATTGCAAAGTTTCAGAAATCTGTTGGACAAGTACTAAGTTGTCCTTATCTTTTTATATCTGCCGTAGCTATTTCCTTTTTTTAAAATACATGAAATTTCAAAAATGTCGACTATCTGGGTGGGTCTATTAATGTAATTTTTTTTACAATGACCAATCTGGATTTGCCTTAAATTGCAGTATTTATCGATAGAAATCAATTTAGTTAACGAAAAAAACAAGCAATACTGAAATTACTAATGGACCTTTTAAATACTGTAGAGGTACGTTTTACCTCGTGGTATTAATTAAGGCTATGTACGCAGTCACAAATTGCGCAGAAAATTGTTTTGATTACAAAAAATGAATAATAAGAGTTCATCTGTTTTTATCCAATCCTTTTTTTGATGGCAGGCACATCAGTGCCTGCTTTATGCTATGTGAAATTTTAGGGCGTCAGGTTGCAGAATATAATGCAAAAGACTTTTTTGTTCTTAAGATTTTTTTCTAGTCTCTTCTCACCCCCTTACTAATGTGAATTTTTGTTGTGGGTCGTTCACTTCATTGAATGACATTTTAGGTCACCTGAGCCGAAGGCTCAAGGAAGGATAATGAGATAAGGAACAGTATTCAATCTCAAAGTCCATAAAGTAATACAAAATAACTGCAGAGCAAACACGGACCTCCGAAACATCAGAGGTGGGATCAGGTGCCATAGCGGAGTGAACATCCCCTGCTGACCGGTCACACCCGTTGTGTGCTCCTTGACATGATCGGGAAATAACAGAAACAGCTGTCGTCAATTAAGGGTATAGATAATAAACCAACAATAAGTATGAAAAACGTCAGTCAGCATTTGTCTCAATGATAAATTGTATTTGCTGACAAGGTCATTGGATTGACCTTAGAATTTACGAAATGATTACTTTAAACACAACTGTTAATACTCTTGTTTCATCAACTTTCTTGTTGATAATTTACCTCGTTTAAGAAATTATTCATTCATAGAGCATGTTCTTGCGTATCTAATCAGCTAAAATATATAGACTCCGTATGCAGGTGATGAATGTATATTGCTGTATAAGTAAGGGAAGTTGACGACAGAAAAGTTAAAGTCATCACGTTCATCAGAAAGCTGGGTTGTTAGATTACCATTAAGTAATATATCCAAGTATGAGCTTTTCTGATCAAAATCTGTTCGTTGTCACTCGTCGTCGTAAACTTTTCACATTTTCATCTTCTTTACGAGAACCACTCGAAAAGTTTCAACCAAACTTGTCACAAAGTATCTTTGGTTGAAAGGAATTAAAGTTTGTTGAAATGAAGGGCCAAACCCTTTTTTCAAGGGAAGATAATAACGAAATAATGAGAAATTGAAGGCATCTTTTAAAAACTTCTTCTCCGGAACCATTGGGTCAGGAAAAATGAAACTAGTGTGGAAGCATCCTCACGTAGTGTAGATTAAGGTTTGTTCAAATCATGACCTCTGGGGGTAGGGCGGGGCCACAATGGCTGATCAAAGGTTTAATTATGAATATATAGGATAAATCTTTTAAAATCATCATCTTCAGAACAACTGGGCCAGGAAAGATGAAACTCATGTAAAAGCATTCTCAAGTAGTTAAGATTCAAATTAGTTGATATTATGACAACCATGGTGGTAGGGCGAGGCCACAATGACTGATCAAAGTTTAACATAGTAATATATAGGAAAAATCTTTAAAAATCTTTTTCTCCAGAATTACTGGGCCAGGAATGATGACACTCGTGTGAAAGCATCGTCAGGTAGTGTAGATTTAGATTTGTTCAAATCATGTGCCCCGGGGTATGGTGAGACCACAATGGCCGATCCAAGTTTAACATAAGTATGTATAGGAAATTTAAATAAAAATCTTCTCCAGGATAATTAGACAAGGTAAGATGGAACTCATGTGAAAATATCCTGATGGTGTGTAGATTCAAGTTTGTTCAAATCCTGACCCTCGGGAGTAGTTCGGGGCCACAGTGAAAATTGTTGTTTTACAAACTTGAAAGAATGTATAGGAAAACTCTTTAAAAATCTTTTTCTCCAAAACCATTGCGATGATGAAACTCATGTGAAAGCATCCCAAGGTAGTGTAGATTCAAGGTTGTTCAAATCATGACCCCGGGGGTAGAATTGGGCCACATTGGCCAACCATAGTTTTACATAGGAATTCCTAGGAAAAATTCTTTTTAAAATCTTCAAGATCAGCAAATCTATGATTGGTGGCATTAATGACATTATTTTGAAGTACCTTCAAGTAGAGTTACTTCGAGTTTGTTCATATCATGACCCCTGGGGTAAGATGGGGTTATAATGAGCAATCAATCTGTACATAGAATTATATGGAAAAAAAAATCTTTAAAACTTTTCTTCTCAATTTCGGTAAAATTATACATATCTTTTATTGATAAAGTGACATTCTCAAGTAAAAATTATTCAAACCCCTTCTCTCCGATCAAGTAAGCTTTTCAATACTGAGCTGATGTGTGTTTTAACTAGCCCATGTGCACAGGTGAGCGATGTGGCCAATGGGCCTCTTGGTTCACTCTTAATATTGCTGTTATTTTCTTTTAATCCACAAAAAAGTAGCTCAGTTGCCTTGACTTTGGATTTGTAACAATAAAAAAAGAAATATAAATAATAATAAGAGTACACTGTTAAAATTATTTAATTATATATACATACTTAAAGTTGTGTGTAAAACATTTTTTTTGCAGATTATCTTTTATTTTGGTTGAAATCTGTTAACTGTTACTGTGGAGATGAGGCCCCTGTTATCCTTGTAGCTACTCATGCAGAGGGGAAATCGGAACAGGTATGCCAATAGCTGTTTTAGTCACATCTATAAATCATTCATGAAAATTTTTTTATCATTTTTAAAATCATTTGAAGTTAACGAACAATACAATAGTTTAAATATAGGAAATCGTATTTTCTAGGAAAAGACTGAATATTATCAAAGACTTATCGAGACGTTTCCTGTGTCTTCCACGATTAAAACACACTTGTCCAGCGATAGATTTTTTACATTAAGTCTCAAAGAACATGATATTTCATGTGTTGAAAGTCTGGATGAATTAGAAAGAAACATTTTGGAAGTCTTAAAGTCACAAAAACATTGGGGAGAAGAAATACCCCTGGATTGGGCCATATTTGAAAAATTCATTTCAGAGAAAAAAGAGAAAAAACTTGAGAAACTAGACAAATTAAAGGAGTCATTTGATGAAGTGCTTTTTTTAAGCAGACAAGAATTCAAAGACTTATTACGCTTTTATCATGATATTGGTGTGATTCTATATTTTTCATTTAAAAAACCAAGGAGAAATGACGAGAAACTATTTCAAATTTTGAGACGTAATGACTATCAACCTTATTCTGGTCCCGAAATAGTTATACTGGATATTCAGTGGTTTGTCAATTCATTTAAATATGTGATGACGGATTCACAGCAAGCCAGTTTCAAGAAAGTAATAGATGCGGCTCCCACTAGAGAGGCGCTAGATACATTTAAAGCTACAGGAGAGATCTCGGGCACATTCTTAAAAGCAATCTGGACAGTTACGAAAAATCAAACTGCACTGGAATATAAGGATGAAATGATAAAATACATGGAACGATTGGGTCTTATGGCGATAGAAGAAAAGTCAGATATATGTTTTATTCCAAGTATGAATAGAATGAAAGTTCCAGAACATGTAAAATCAAAGATTCATTCCTGTCTCTACACGTCTCCAACTCTGTACTTCAGATTCACAGTTCTGCCGGTCTTTCTCTTCTACAGACTGATTGTGCTTTGTTTAAAGTCGCAGTGGGAATCTTTGATGGACGGAAGGAAATGTATTTATATTGACACTGCTATGTTTTATTATAAAAAACACGTCTTAGTTTTAGGAGTAAGCGAGAGTTATATACAGTTGATGCTGTATAATGATGATGATCTGATGCAAGAAGAATCAATTCAGAGGGCCTTTAGCGATGTTAAAAGAGAAGTAATGGCGATACTGTCTTCTCTAACAAAAACATTTAACAGCACCCTTCATTATGAAGTTGGATATAGCTGTACACCTACAGAGTTTGGTAAAGATCTAGAGAGCACTTTTATAACAGAGAATGTTCTGTTTAAATACAACGGGAAAAAATGCCCCCTCCACGCACACGCAGAAGACCATGATATTAGAGCCTTAAGCGTATTCTTGGTAAGAAATTCTTGTTTTTTCATGGATAGTAGAAGACATTTGAATCTAAATATATTCAACATCAATAATTTAATTTTGTATTTTTATCGTTAAAAACTATTTTAGCTTAAAAAAAATTCAGCATATTCTTTATTTTCTTTAAGTCATTTAATGGTAATTTTTGCTTACACAAATGAACTGCTTTCATGAAATAATCTGATATATAACTCGTTTCTGACACTTCAAATGATGTAATCTTTCGTTCATGATCAAATTAATTAGACAAAAAGAATAAGATAGGACAAGAGCCAATCTAGGCCCCCTCTTCAAAGAAACTAATATGATATGTAATCCAAGGGTATACCCAAGCCTAACAGGAAATGATATTTTTTTTGGTGTTATCCCTGCAATTTGGTTGCCTAGCAACACATTAAACATAACAACCATGAATTGAATTTAAAGTCAATTTCAGAAACATTTATTTAAAGAATTATGTATGTGTTACATATTTTTAAGTAACACATGATAAAAATCATTTAAATCCTAGAAACATTGTAAAATGTAGGTGAAATACAGAATTTAATTTTCCATGGCAACCAAAAACGTCCCTAGTAACAACTTTAAATACATAAAAATATTAAGAAAAAGGGATGTTGGTGTACTATGATATGAAAATGTAAGGTTCAATGTTGGTATCTTACGGATTAAGATCTATGTATCTTTAGAATTCAAAATTTTATCCTACAGGCATCAAAGAAATCCTTAGCAACAGCATTACAGTCATGTAAAAAAAAATGTATAAAAGTGTAGGAAGATTTCTTAACAGTTGGTATGCCATCACGGTGAGCATCAGAATAACAAATAATAATGTGTCAGTCACATATTTTTGTGTATTTTATGTACACTGTATATTTACATAAAATATAATGTATAGATAAAAATTAAACTTTCAGTTACCCAATAAACCCTTAGTAACCATATGAATCCCTAGTAACCAAATAAAATATCAAAACTAAAGAACTATGCGCGATAATTCTCGATTCCTGCCTACATGTTACATTTCTTTGAAAATTGATTGAATACCGGTATTAATGGCAACTTGGTTTATGGCTTTATTCAAGTTTTACAAAAATTATAACGTTATTTATATCATTCTCTTGCCAAATACTAGTATGTTTTGTGAAAATTCATACAATTATCTACTAGCATACATAGATGAAAATATGTTCATTTCGATTAATGGACTTGGGAAAGTCGGCAAAAAAAAAACAAACAAAAACATTTGTAGTTCTTTTATTTATTAAACTTATTAGATATCTCTTTATGTACAAAATATTTTTCTGTTTCAATATACAGCAGCAATGACCTCTCATTTATATATAAATTAAAAGCATCACTTCCTTTTCTGCAATAATTGTATTTTGCATAAAGTCACTCTAACAGGTTTGATCCATACATGTATTGTATGAAACTAGACTATTGCCACATGAAATGCAGTTTTTCTAATTGCATCTGTAACTACAAATTGGAGACTTTATTTTACTTAAGAAACGTATTTTTATATGGATATAAAAATATATATATTGAATGTGAACATACAAGTTATACAAGTCACACTTATGTTCGGCCGTAGGTGTCGTGTGTTCGAAATTAGGTCTACGTAATTTGTTGGTACAAAGAGCAACACAGGCACCTGAAGTATGGATAATCCCCCCCCCCATTTTTTAAATGAAAAAAATGTAAGAGTGTATTAAACCTCGAAAATATGAATATATCCCCGTCAAACATATCTATACGTCGTTATATGCAAGCAGATATTGAACTTTTTCTCACGTTTAAAGAATGGCCCTATTCGGTATAATAAAAATACACAAGCTGGACCTTTTAGGGTCTTACACATACATGTAGCAGAAAGAAAAACAAAGGGACATGGTTTTTTTCTCCTATGATTTAAACTGTTGTATTAAAGATTTTAGATGAATGAAAAGTGTCTAACATACGGTCGAAATGATAGTGTATTTACAAAGCGGCAACTAATTTTAAGCAAGGGTTTAAAAGGCATTTTTACATGTATGCAACCTAAATTCTAGAAAGTTATATGATGTTCCTGCTAAGTAATAGTTAGCTAGTTGCTTAGTAATAATATTCAACACACATCGGGGTATTATCATTGCCTCAGCAATACAAGTCCCTTAAAACCCAAGGTTTAATCTAAAAACAAGAAAGTCCCCAAATTCCGTCAAAGATCATTTAGGCGGAAAAAATGCAAACTTTATTAATAATTCAGCAAGAAAAACCTACATACCAAAAATTTCGCAGCTCAATATTTGCAAATGTTTAGAAAAAAGTGAAGAAAAACAAGTGGCACATGTGGACTGAAAGAGTACAGCTAGACAAACAGACGGACAGACACAGACAAAATCTACAGCTCCCTTCAGTTTCAAGGTAGGACACAAATAAGCTGATATCTGATCTACCTGGTACATGTAACAAGTAAAAACTATAAACAAAAAAATAACAAACTGTTAAATACACAATGTATTTTCTGTCGCAGACTCCCCTATACATGTAGCTTAATCTATACGTGGAATATTGCAACAAATATCTTTACTTCACTACATTTCACTTACAGTGAAAAAAAACTTATAAATATACTTGTATATACTTTTTAAAAATATATTTGCATTTTCATATACCGGTATGCAATTAAAGGAGGAGGGGGAGGATTTATTTGTCCGAATATTTACCCAAGCAGAGAGCTACAGTCCTTCAGCTTTTGTAACCATAGATTAGCATTGTAATAATTTCGTCAAGACTCTACAAAAAATAATTTTCAAACTTTAACTTGAATTGCATTGTCTGATTTCATTTCTTGTAGGATACTTAAATGCTATATACAGTATATAATTTAAATTCGGAAATAGTTATTGATATACACATTATATAGTGACATCCTCCCTTTATTAATTCATTATTAATCTGGAAAAAACTACCACAGGTTGATCAAAAAGATTTTAGAGTGATATTCTATTCATTGGCGGATCCAGAGGGGGGGGGGGGTCCGGGGGTTGGACCCCCCTTTATTTTTCGCCAAATGGAGAGAGAGAACTCAAGATAAAACGTTTTCCGAGATTATATACTTGTACATTTTACTTATTTATTGAATACTAGAAGATAGATTCTCATACATTTAGTTTTCTCAATCACTTCTCTATTATACTAATTTTATGAGAGAATGGTAGAAAATATTCTACTTATTTTTATATATATTGTATATGATATGTAACATGCGAGGTATAATTTGGTACTGGATTCCCGCGATCTCTGGCTGTGTTGGCTATATTTGTACCGTTTTTTATCATAATCTAGATCTATTGAAGGAACTAACATGCAACTCTGTTTTAAAGCCCACCTGCATCCCACCCAAAAAAGTTTTTCAAATTCTTAAAGAAAATTCTTTATACTTTTCGGAAATGATACAAATTCATTCAATTTTAAGGCTTCCGTAGTTTTGGAAGTGTGTTTTTTTTTATTGTTGTTGTTTTGTTCGGACCGGGGGTACGCTTTTTTTTTTTTAAAAAAGGACATAAAACAAAGATAGTATTTACCACAACCTTAGATCTTTCCGTACAAGTCTGTGAATGTGAACCTTTGCTTGAGAGTATGTATTTGAGGGGGGGGGCGGGGTAGAGAAGACCAACCCTGGAACCCCCCCCCCCTTTCAAAAATTGCTGGATCCGCCCCTGCTATTTCACTCAAAGTGTAGCCTCATGTTACATAATGATACGAAAACAAAAATGGGTTTTCCATCGTACTATAAATAGATATTTACATGTCATATCGGTGAATAAGAGTCTTTGATTTTCAGTAAGAATTTAAATCAATGGTCATTTTGTAATATTTCCTGACTAGAAGACGACTGATTATTGACTATTGAGATTCTTACGAAATTGGTATTTTATGAGGAAAAATGATTAGATCCTGTCGATCTACAAGTTCATGAAATATTTGTAACGTACGACAGATTCACCTTGGCCTTTTTTCACTGTCAAATTATGATTTTAGGTTCGACAAGAGGCTTTAGACCCTTCAGTCCCAGAGTTTCAGTTTCCAATTTCTGTAGCTATATAAAATGACTTTGAATTGCAAAAAGGATCTTGGAAGGAAAGTGTAGCTTGCACCACCGTCCATCCTTAATAAACCTCATTTTTCATAATACTAATTTTGTGTGATCTTTAAAAAAAACAATTAGAGCGAGTTGTTATGTGAATACATGTACATTGTTTCTGCAAGGATGAATCTAGAATGTCTTTGTACTCTCGGAATCCAGAATTTGTGTCGTTTTTTTTTTTTTATCTCATATTCCAATTAATAAATATTTTTTTTTTTATATAGTAAATGAAAAATACAAATCCACCTTGTTATGTTAATTTTGGAAAGTTGTCCTTATAATTTTAAAGCGATATGAGCAAAAACAAATCGATAAAAATAACCTATTACAGATTTATTCAAAGCAGGTGCGTGTGGTGGTTTTTGATCCGCTCCCAGTCAAAACAAAAATGGCGTCGTACAGCAGACGCTTCGTACTCATCGTAATTTTCGTGAAATATTATCGTGGATAATTTCGTTAAGTATCATTGCATGCAGGAAAATATTCATTTGATTTTTCACCAAAACATGACTGATCCTCTCAGGAAAGTGGAAATCTAATCGAAAATTTCATGGCATGTCCTGTCGCACAACTGCTATTTTGTGTTTTTTCAAAGACTTCAAACATCACCGGTGAGTTTATTAATTCTAAGCGACTTTTTCTTTATCCGAGACGATTGATGGTTTCAAAAAATTGTGTAAATTATGTATCTTGCGAAAAAATTACAAAAACTACCGTTTGACAAGGAGCAGCAAGCTTGTATACTCGATTCCCATTATATCGCGGGTTTCATTGTATCGCGGTATATTGCAAAAATGTAGATACATAGCCTATATTCTTTTTGTTGATAGAAAATATGAATGTTGTCTAAATGTTTGATATTTTGATGATTAAAAAGTACTGAACATCCGTTTGAAAAAAAAATAAAACGATTTTTTCAGATTTCAAGTCCCATTTTAATTATATTTAGACCATTAGAATTATAACCTCGTAAAATTATAATAAAGTTCATCTTTTAAAAGTCTTTAGTTTATGCAATTGTTCACTTTTTCCTGTAGAATTACATCGTAAATTCAAAAATAAGAATTGAGGTCTGTATCATTTACAAGTTTCCATGTATTCCCATACCGCGGTACAATGAGACTCTCCAATTTAGGAGGTAAATACGACTTCCTGTTTTAAAAATAGAACACAGATTGAACGATGCATGCTTGAAAAAAAAATTGACACTAAAAAGTTAGGCCAAAGTTAGAATTATAATTATCATTTGATGCAAGTTAAAATAAAAATTAAATGTCAGACATTTTGTGCAAAAGAATTAAGTACCGCGATATAATGAGACACCAGTATATAACATAACATACCCGTCACATTGTTAATCCGGAAAAAAGCAGGTTGATCATTACCAATCGATTTTTATAAAATTTACACGATTTTTTCTTGTTTTTTTTTAATATTTAAACGGCAAAGGTACCACGAAGATTTTTAATACAAAGCAAGTACTTATGTATTGCTCTCAAATAACAAAATATCTTAGTGGAAAATGTTTAGTCGCTCATAAATAAATTAGAGCGTAAGAATGCTGACAATACTGCATATTCTTACTATTTTTCATGATCGTGCAGAAACAAAGTCCTCTAAAATTTATTTTATGGATGAATGAGAAGAAATATAATATGGTTTATAAAAAGTAGGTGTTTCCATCTTTCAAAAAACTGGGGTGTCTTTTTATTTACAAGTAATCTATTTTCTGAGAAATTTGGGGGCCATGCGACAATACTTGTCCTATCTTGTTCTTTGATGAAAAAATCAGTTTGAAAATTATCACAGATCTAATATAGAAGCTGTAAGTGGGGTACAGTGTATCACATATGCGACAGAAATTTGTACAAAAGCTCAATAAAGTCCGACTTATTGCAAAGTTTTTCACAAGCCAACGAATTTCTTATTTAGCTTTTTTCTTTCATAAACTCATCCTATAAATTAATGGGAACATTTGTTGAAAACAAATATTAATACATTTTGAATTATATACGTTCTACATTTTAGCACTGTAAAAAACTTTAAACTTAAAAATACAATCTTGGACAAATTTTACTCTGATCTCATTTTAAGCACAAAAGACAATGCGTATAATTCAAAATTTTGCTGAAAAAAATCTTTTTTTGCTTTATATGTTCCAAATAAGATGCAGCTAGAGTTTCAATAAAGCATTGTTTACGCATTTTGATACATATTCTATTTGGAACATCCCCATTAAAAGTACTCTATTTGGAGATCGCTATTTATATAAAAATAAATTGCACAGTTTTATCGCATAGGACATATTATTCCAACTCTTGCTATGTATACAATATTTCACAACCGAAATTTGGAATCGAAAGAACTTTATTCAGTAATAACCAATATTTGCCCCGAAAATCAACCTTTAATGGAGATATATTTAAGTAAGTTCTTAAACAGGGGAGTATATGCTGACTTCAAAACACTGAACATTTTCATAAGTAATGACACCATATGTACGTAATGACGTAAATTTCAGTTTTTATGAATTTTACAGAAAAATATACATATTTCGTCGATATTTTGAGTAAAAGTCACCGAGCGCATGTGTGTTGAGGATCAATATTTTGATATTATGTGTAGAATGATAATATCAATGAAATACATTGTATATCAATATTGTCCCTGAACAAACTTGCGCTCTATAAATATTAAAGCTAAAATTGTTGAAATTTTGTCCAATTTGATCTCTTTCTGACAAAGGATATAAAACCGGACTAGTTTGTGACGTCATAAATATAAAAATTGTGAATACACTGCTTTGACACTTTAATATTTTCAGTAAATTTATATTTCTCATACAATTTATTGAATTCAGCACATTTCAAGAAGTTTTCAAAATTTGACTTTTGTGGGGGCAATTATATGCAATATACCGCATATAGTTCTTTATATTCAAATCATAACCAAAGAAATTTTATAAAATACTATTAGTTACACAGTCAGTTAGTGACCTAATACGGATTAATACAGGGTGTGAAATGGAAATCCGTATTGGGCGAGGCGAATATATACGAATATATCAAAACGGCATCTTAAATATTGTATCAGGTGTGATGATGAAAAATATCCAGACCAGAAATTCCTGTCTAAGTTTCATATTTCAAGAATGATTATAGAGAGTTTAAATAAAATTATAACGTAAAGATGAAAGACTGTCACAGTTAAATTCTGTCTCCCCTACCCATATGAAGAAGAGATGAAAATAACGAATATATCGTTGAGAAGAACCTCACAAAAGTCAGATCTGAGTTTAGGGACATTGATTGTAACAATGCGAGTAAGTGTATCAAATGTATTTAGAAATATTAAATTTGAATTTAGTGTGTCTGCATGCATACATGTACAAGATTTCAGCATTTAAAACCAATACTTGATATAAAAAATTACTAAATTAAGCGGAACTCTTTCGCGATGAAGGTAGGAACCGTCTGATTGGTGTGGTCCAAGTGTTATTGAATACAGTGCCTGAACGATCATTGTAGAATTTATAAGGACAGTTAAGTAAAGAATCATAGTGTCTTACCTTGCTAAACAATTGCTGAACTAGCCTAATCAATTTTTGAGAGGAGCCAATCCTAAATTGTTACATTCACTAAGCAGACTTTTCTCGAAATAAATTTTCTGACAACACATGTTTAGCAGAAAAATTATATCTGCCAAAAGGCCACTTTCCTTATTCAACAATAGACTATTTGGAGTGCAACATCTGGCAAAACATTGTGCTTTCGGCATTAAATTGTTTGAATCATTCGATATTGTTACTACTGTAATGTGGCGGAGTCATATTTATTTAAAATATTTTTTTATCTTTATTGAACATATTATGCAATAAGTATTTCATTACAACAGGGAAGCATTAAAGTTTTAAATGCTGAGAAGTATTTATCTGTGAAAAAATTTAACTTTGAAAATCCTTGTGTAACCGTTTTTTTTTATATATACTGAGTTGAGCATCCCTGTCTGCGGGAAATTTAACTTAAAATAAAGCTTTTCAAAAAGCTTTTTTGAAGTAATCAATCAATATCTGTGAGAGAAGTGATAAACCTTTTGAGCAATACTTTTTTGTGCTGTCTTTTTATTTCAGAACCTTGTAAATATATTTAATTATTTAACTTGTAAAAGAACGATGTCTTTGCTGCAATTTGGGAAGCCGATTTAGCTCAAAGTGTGTGAAAGGGTAGCCAGTGACAATTTTTTTTACTTACTTGAAAATTGAAACAGGCAAAAAAAAGGTGTCTCATTATATCCGGTAGTATAAATCTTTTGCATAAAAAAGTGTAATTTGATTTTTTAAATTTAACTTTCATCATATGATATTAATAAAGCAGAATGGTTAACTTTTATATGGGTTTTTCCCAAGCTTGCAACTCCTCGGTCCCAGTTGTCGGGCATTTTTAAAAAGGAGACCACAAATGTTTCCTAAATTTATAGCCATAGTACACCCCCCCCCCCTTTCACAAACTTTGAAATAAAAGCATGGATGATGTATATGGACCTTCAATTCTTATTTTTTATTTTACAATGTAATGATATTATCTAAAATATACAATTATACAAACTGAAGTTTTTTACATGAACTTTAAAATTTTATAAATTAAAAACATCAGTGGGTAAAAATATTCCGATTTCGTTTTTTGATTTCTGTAAAAAGACCCGAGATGATGCGAATAATTTTCTGCAAGTAGATTTTCTACTTTTTAATCATAAAAAAAAAACATACAGATTTTCTGAAATTTTTTTTCAAAAAAAGCATTGTGAACATTTTAGAGAATGGAATATAACTAGATACATATGTTGTAGGAAAGCATTTTATAATGAAGTAAACAGTATATATGTGTTCATTAATCACTTGAAATGTGATATATTTTTTAATGGAATACATAGGTAAAACCAAAATTTAGGCCTTTGTTAAAGA